GGACGGCCGTGCTTCTTCTTCTTTGGGACTGTTCAGGAGACATATGGTTGAGCTACCCGATTGTATAATTGCCTGAAATGAATCCACGCCTCTTCGACTGATGCCCCTGAATCAATTATCCTGTGTTCAGTCGATGCTGCAGGGTTTGTCGTCTCCATGTCTGCCTTTCATATGTTAGGACGGGCCGGCGCAATTATTTGATAGGCCATCTCAGTCATGAATTTGAATAAGATAACTGCATGATCAATCCTAAATAAATGGTTGCTCTGGTTGTCATAAGGAGCATCAGCCTCGTGACTTCCGAAGGAACTCGTCTTTCATCATGAGGCGTCATAACTCTTCCAAATGAAGACCTAACTCCCAGGGCACAGTTTAAAAGGTTTGAATAATTGTACTCAGTGTAATACTAGAATCAGCAGAGACTTTGTAGAACAACATATTTTGCACGACTAACGTGATAATGGCTTGCAGCACCTTTTATATCCAACTAGTGTGAGCCCGGTGTACACATTGTGATACCAATTATTGCAGCCATCACATTGCCTCTCATCATCGGCAAGGAATCAGCAAGCTGGTCTGCCACGACGCTGTTTTACTTGCACCACAAATTCGTTTTGTAATTTCACAGTGAAAACTGATCTCTAGATAAAGTGTCTTTCAAAACTTTATTAGTGATAGACACTGAACACAAACAAAAACAGAGGTTTGTGTATAACTGAACCTAACAACTATAAAAAAATCCGACTTCAGTAGTTACAAAAGACTTAAACACCTATGGATACAAACAATACTCAAAGATACACTCAGCGATGGAGAATAAACACCAGTTTACCTTGGTGTTTTTTTGTATATGTACTCGTAAGATACAAATGACAAACTTCTCTAGTACTCTTGGGGATTACTTTAAATGAAATAAATTCAATTAAAGCAAAAACTGCAGTCTGGATACATAATTTGACGATCGACAATATGAAATACACTCAGAGGAAAAATACCACTGTCTTTTTTGAATACCGCTGATATAACATGTTCCGGCAGAGAATTTCAGTATTTCACTACTCAAAACTCCAAACGTGGACGATTCGATCCCAGTTTCTTGAAATTTCTTCGAATGTCCTCTCAAATAATCAGTCCTAGACAGAAGGAAAAGATAAGATAGATCAATACCAAGGTCATCGTTCAGCATACGGTAAGCCAACATTAGATTACCCCGCATTCTACGGTAAGATAAAGGAAATAAGTTGAGGTGTCTCACTCTGCCCTCATAAGATAGGCTAGATAGACACTCTAGTATTTTCGTCCCTCGTCGTTGGACTCGTTCCAACACACCCGCCCCATAATTGAGACGAGGACTTCCTGCTTGAACATCTTGTACCAGATGCCGTCTCACGAAAGTTGGGGATAATAATCTAAGCATTTATTCATCTAAATACTGAAAACACCTACGAATAGACCATAATACCCTACAGCCTTTTGCAGAAGCAGCTTTGGAGTTACTGGTGGTTTTGAGATCACTGTTTATTATGACTCCTAAATCTCTGTAATTTCTTACATTGAGTAACACGAATCCACATACTGCGTAGTGATATGAATCATCATAGTTATTTAATTGCATCACCACGCTGTTATTAGGATTTACTTCTAGTGAACATCCGTCCATCCATGCCACTATTGTGTTGAGATCATACTGTAATACTGTTCTATTTGACATAATGTGTATGGGTCTACAAATCTCTATGTCATCAGCGAAAAGCTCCATTCACCCTTACTATATGTCTCCTATCGTGTAGAAAGCCATTTATCCAGTCTGTGACGGTGTAATGGATTCCAAAACATTGCAGTTTTAATTTGAGACCAGAATGAGAGATATTATTAAAAGCTATACTTAGATCTATGAGAAAGGTCACATCTACAGAAATGTTTCGGTTTTTGCCGCAGCCTAATCTTCTCCTGCAATGAGCAGATTTGTCAAACTTGATAGGCCTCTCCGAAAACCATTTTTTTCCCTGCATAAAAGATTATGCCCTTCTATATAAACTATAGCAGCCATCCAAACAATCGCTTTCACCAGTTTTACAGCTGCACTGATTATTGTCGCGTCTTGCAAGTCTGTTGGCAGTCTGAACTACTGCAGAAACCTATCAAACTGTACGGCTATAGATTCAGCAATTACATCAAACATGGCTTTCATAATCCTAGGAAGAATATCTTTAAAACCATAGGACGTATCAGGTTTAAGATGTTGAAGTACTCTTAAGACAGTACCTTTCTCAATAAATACAAGATCCATCAACAAGCTGCCCTATTAACAGTCATTCGCTGATCGTTCCTCATTGCTATTAGAAAACGTTTTACTGAAATATTCCGATAATTCTTCAGCTTTCTTGGCATTATCTCTTGTCGATATTAATGGATTTTCTTGTACCAAACGTGATGCGATTCCAACGCTTCTCTGAGTTCTATATTTTATATACGAGAATAACAGTTTTGGACTATTTTTACAATCGTTAGTCCATTGTTTTTCATACGACTATCTAGTCTTACTTACTGATGCTTTAAAATTGCTAGTCTTACAATAAATGGATCTGTACTGTTTTGAGATGACACCGAGTATAAATGTACAACATCTGATAGCCAGCTCATAGCTAATGACTTCACAAATTTCACTATCATGAGATTCGAAAGTAGAGGAGCTGATGTTTATATTATTGGCCATGTATAAGAGGACACCATCTCCTTTCCTGTATCGATGTCCATCACTCCTTAGGTAGTGATATCCGGATAATTCTGGAGTAATGTCGAGATCACGGATTAACCGAGTTTCCGTCACAGTTACAATGAGTGGCCTTAATTTGGTTACTAATACTCCTAGTTCATTGGATTTATTTTCTAGACTACGAGCATTGACATATAAAACTCTTAGGGAGAGCGACCCATCCAAACAGGTCTTGGTAGCATTCGCTTCCAATATCACCACCTACTACAATGACCCATTCTTTTCTGTTAGTACTGGTGTTACCAGCGCAACCACCATATTTCAGCAGCTGAACAAAGCTTCTCCATTACTTTCATCGACCTGTTCTGCTTAATGTATACAGGGTTTTGTAACACATCTACAGGCAGTTCTTTTAGCCTAGTCACTAAATAAGCCATTACAAGTTCAAGCATTTTATGACTTTCCTTTGTACTTTACCATCTACGACCTGAGTAAATGTATTGCGAACAATCATACAAATCTCCTAGAAAGGGTCCTACAACGTCGCTTTTTTAAATGCGTCAAGTTGACAGAGTATACGTTAAGTAGGATGTATATATATAATGGAATCGACTACGGGTGCAGTATTTTGTAATTTGAACTAAGTGCCTCGAAAATCTGCAAATTAATAATAATTACATGCGAGCATTATAGTTAGACAAGTACTACTTTTCTAATGAATTCAAAATAGGAATTGTCGGTGAACTTGCACTGCATTCGCCTCTCAGTGTTTAATATCTGAGAAGAATCTACCAATTTTCCGTTCATTTAATGGAATATTTTATATAAGAGCATAACATTTGTTTAGGGTTCCATTTAGAACACCAACTTTTATTTCATTTGTTCTTTTATCTGACAAATTGTGCTGTAGTGTTATGATCACAGAAAACACATGTGGATAGCTTTAGATGAATGAAGTGAAATTTCGAGTGAAAATCACACTCTTGTATGCAATATTAGCCCACTAAGTGAACGGAAAAATACTAGAAAATGCTAGATATCATAATCTTATTGAACGCTGAAAAAAAAATTAATACTCAGGTTTCAACCCAAGTAACCGGGGATTCCAGAAGAAATTCAAACAGGCAAGATAATCTCCTGTGATAACAGTTACACCATCTATAAAGTCATTGGCTCACATCAACGAATCTTCGAATGGGTTTTAATTATGACCCAGCACTACATTTTGGCCGAACTTATACCTAGGATCTTTTAGAAGTTCTTACTGACGCCTGTTCGTCCACTAATAACGTGTTTTTGTTATATTTACAATATATTGTTGCTTTTTTTCACACAATTTTAGATTAGTTTTATAAATGAATGCATAATGACTCGGTTCTACTTTCATTCTGGTCAATCTACTAGATTTGCTACTAAATTGCTCCAGTTGACTCCAATAATGACGAAGATGATGAGTGAACCATGAAATATAATTCTCAGTTTCATTCCACACATCATACTTGGTCTAACCCTATTGTGTAACAGTGGTAAGAAAAGCGAGATATGAACTTTGTTGGGAGAATTTTACTTTGGACATTCATGTGCAATCAGTCAGACAATAAAAATTAATAGACAAAGGCAGTGTTATCTAATAAGTCAAGTGTTAGCTATCTTTCGCATAAAGAAACACATTAAACAAAGGCAAGCATACAGGTGGTTAGTTAGATTATAGACAAACAGATACATACGCACATACCTAGGTTTAAAAGTGAATATTTGACAGTGACTAGTATGAATATCATGTACATATTCACGTTGGCATTATAAGGAGTCTATATAGGCCAATACGACTTTTTTGCATCATATATTTACGCTGCTAAAACCTTTGGCAGATAACCCGTAAAGTACCCTGCTACAGATAGGGTCTACATCAAGGCTTTATAAATAATAATTTAACGTGATACGTAATTGTTAAAATTAATAATTCCAACGTAATAACTAATAGTATTTGGAAGCAAGCAAATAGTCACTGGAGTCTTACTAAATTAAGGAGAATTTTAAAGTTATACGCCTTAGCAATCAGAGAAATAAAGGATTTGTCATCTGTAAATACTCAAAAGTAGACCAGGACCGTGGTTTCGTTATTTCTGTCACCAGTTAACGATTCTGTAACTTATGTCGGAAACCTACTTTCTTCAATGAAACCAACAATACGTTATCACTTGACAAACCGATTTAACAAACACTGAGTGCAAATAAAATGCGATGGAGTATTTATCAACAAAATGAATGAAAAATGACATTGTTTTCGTTTATTTATCTCTTCTATTTGAAATCAACTAATATCTGTGCATGTGTGACAACGGTAAAGGTAAAATATAACTACTTTGTTTAGTTTGTGAGTGTTTACATGACAATCGTTTCCATTATTATGTACAAATATCTTTTTGGTTGATCAGTGGACAATATGATTTTACATTCTTTCTTAATCCTAAAAAAAGCAATTGAAAGTTCATTTTTAAAATTACCTTTACTACATCAAAAATTTACTGTCGATATAATAAACAGTGATACTTGAGTTGTTATTATTACTATTAAAAAAATGCAAAATACATTTATGGGTGTGACAGCTGACTATAAATACTTAGTAACCTTAAAAGTGATCTAAGTAGTTGGATAAGTTAACCATACTTCAAAAAAGAGAGTCGGTACATCTTTGTTCTTTATTCTCCATAATTTTCTTATTTTAGGTTTGACCACTTGATAGATTAAGGCTGCTCACTTATGAGCTGTCGTCAACCAGGGAAAAAAAGCATCGAGTATCCTTGAATTTAAATGAATTTTTAGACTCAGCGACTAAACTTTTTTGAGATGGACATCTACTAACAATTAGACTATAAATCTTTTGCAACATCATGTATAATTTACAGAAAGTCATCTTGAAGGCCATAAAGATGAGCTTTTATTGATCAAATTAAATTAAAATACCCAAAGTAACTAAATCTTTATCCGGGGGGGGGAGAAAATAACTTGACAACTTGAAATTTTAATAGTTCACATTGTGGGAATAGCTGAAATAGACTTATCTTATAATTATTTTTCGCGATTATTTACATTTTTACCAGAATGGTTCTCATAATTTGTACAATTATCATTATTGACTGTGAAATTTTTCAATGGTTAAGATCATGAGTCAGTTGAAGCTAGACCACCATGGAGAACCTGGAAGCACTGGACGGCCGTTTCGTCCTATTGTGGGACTTTTCAGCAGTGTGCATTCAGGTCCTTGCCCCCTGCGAGATTCGAACCCAGGACCTTCTGGTCTCGCTCGCTAGCACTTATCCACTAGACCACTAAGCCGGCATCCCACGGTGTTAATGTCTAACTTCAACTAATTCACGAAATTGACCGATGCATCCACCATAGTCTTCAGTGAGTTACTGTCTCACAGCAGACCTGGTTGAACTCCACTGGTCACTACTTCTCACTAGAACTCCAGGATATACCTCTTGAAGCCAGTCACTAGTGAGCATATGTTGATTATTATCAGATGGGTTTCAACTGACTCATGATCTTACCATTGAAATAACTATTCCCCCTCTACATGAAAGTTGTTCCTCCAGGACTGACCTGCGTCAACACCTGAACTAAGTAATAGGAAGTGAAGTAGTCAAACTCGTCGACAACTTCACTTATCATGGAAGTCTGATCAGAGCTAATGGGTTGGTGTCTGACGTAGTCGTTGCACGGATTCAGAAAGCTTGCTTGGCTTTTGCCAACTTACGTCACCTATGGGGAAGACGAGTATGCTGTGCAGCAGTTCGTTCTGTCCTACTTTATGGCTGCGAAACGCGGCCATTAAGGATAGAAGATAGTAGTAAGTTTCTAGTGTTTGATCTTATATGTCTTAGAAATACTGCTCGCATCTGCTGAAATCACCGGGTAAGTAATGATGAAGTTAGGCGCATGGTACTAGAGATTAATGCTAAATCAGTTGATGAGCTTGTATATCTACATAGACTGAGATGGTTGGGCCACGTGTTACGTATGCCTGAACACCGACTACCAAGACTCACAATGCTGATAAGTGTCGGAGACGGTTGGAGGGAAGTTAGGATCAGCCAAACCAAAACGTGGCATCAGTGCTTGATGTCACTAACTTCTGGTCTGAGTCATGTTAGTAGATGCAGACCACTTGTTTGAGGTCCGTGCGACTATCATAACCAATCGTTGAAGACTCTGGGTGATATGGCTCAGAATCGATCACATTATTGCAGGTGTATACACTCTTTATCTTCACTTAAACTGTGAGATTAAAATTGCTTTATACTCTTATTTCAGCGAATTAATTCTTTCTTCCGGTACTATTTCGTTATGACCAATCTTTACTTTATTTATTACTACCATTGAAGTAGCTACTTCTATGAATTTGGTGTTCATCTTGTTGTGCTAATCGGGTATAACAACTTGGACTGATGAATATATGTGCCTGGTCCTATGTTATAGGTGACTGACTGCTTCCAGTTGCTATTCATTCTTCTCATTTCGGCTTCCGATTCTCGACTCACTGTGTTCTTTGATCTTCCGCGTTTCTCTTTCTGTTCAAGATTACAAGTTATAGATTGTGCCATGATGCATCTTGATGATTTCTACAACGTACGTTCTACCCACCTCCGGCATTATTTCCCAACTACCTCTTGAGCTGGAAGTTGGTTTCTTCTCTCCCACAGTAGGCTATTGCTGATGTTGTCCGATCGACGAACATAGAGTATGTTGCATAGATAATTGTTTATGAATACATGTACTTTTTTGTTGATGGTTGTGGTAGTTCTCCGCGTTTCAGCTCCGTACAGTATGACTGTCTTCACATTTGTGTTGAAGATTCTGACTGACGTTGTTTGACAGCTGTTTTCAGTTCCATATATTCTACAGCTGCAGGAATGCTGGCCTTACTTTGCCAATGCTTGCCTTTACGTTTGCATCGTATCCTTCTTATTCATCGATAATGCTGTTAAGATACTTGAAACTATCCACCTCTTTCAGACTTTCTCCGCCAAGCGCGACTGGCTTGGTGTTCTTAGTGCTCTACTTGGGGATCTTGCTTTTCTCTAGTGTATGTTGAGGGCCACGATTGAAAAGGCTTAACCGCCTGTTTTCATCTGCATTTACTGATGTGCCTCTTCACAAGGAGTGACTAGCGTAAGTAATGGGATAGAAAAGCTAGGATACTGTGAAGTCATCTAGCTGCATGCAAGCTGTTCGTTATATTTCTTGCTTTCCCTGAGGTGTGAAGGTCTCCATAATCCAATCAACCACCAGAAGCAAGAGAAAGTGGGAGAGTAAGCAGTCGTGTCTGACACAGATTCTAACTTGGAATGCATCTTTCAGCTGTCCTCCATGCACGAATTTGCAGTGTAGTTCGTCGAATGAATTCCTTTCTTGAATCTTGTCCAGGGTTTCAATGGAGATACATTCCTTATGATGATGCTTCTCGCGGTCTAGCTCCTCCCAGTACGTGGAAGTTAGTTCTTCTTTGTTCCCTTTCCAGTTTTTCCCAAAAGTAGTTTCTTAAATAGAGCAAGAACAAAGATTGGTGCAGAATAATATGAATTCATTTTATTTCGTTAGGTTCTCATCAGCTGCTCACCAGGTAACAATAACCCCCACTCTTTCTATTAATTTGCTCCTATTTATTTATTTATTTATTTATTACGTCATTATTGCGACTCTTTCTGAAATATAAATTACATCATACATAACTGATTGATTTCAATTCATATTTTCTTTATTACCATTAATCTATTTTAATGAGTTCTAATCACTATTTCAATGTTCCAGAACTTTCCCTCTCAAACTTTATTTATTTATTGGAATCAAACATTTTATGAGCTCATTAACTCTATCTGAATCTTTGCTTGCTAGATCATCATACACATGTATTGATCCTTAATCACACTCTTATATATAAATATGTCAATATCTGTAATAATGTTGAATTTCAAATAATTTAGGTTGTAAGCAGCTGATGAGAACCTAACGAAATAAAATGAATTCATATTATTCTGCACCAATCTTTGTTCTTGCTCTATTTAAGATAATAAAGGGAACTATGTGTATGAAAAAGTAGTTTCATTTTCTTTGAGTAGATCTTTCAAGGCTTGTAAACTGTTGTTAAGAGCCATCTTCAATTGGTTGAGTTTATCAGTATCTTGAAATAAGTCCGTGTCAGACCTTTGTAATGGAGTTCGTTCATTCTTTCAATGCTTCTTTAGTTTCAGTTTTATCTTGGAAAACACCAGATGGTGGTGATTTGAAGTTCTATCATCTTCTCTCTTGGTTCTCACTTCTTTCATTGATCCTCTGATTCTTTTAGCAATGCAAATATAATCTATCTGATTTTCTGTATTATAATCCAGTGAGACCTATATAGCTTTTTCCGCTTATAACCATTATGTTGAGGTCATATAGAGTTGCAAATCTATCACCATTCTCGTTCCTTTCTTCCAGTCGTTTCATGTCATCCCATGATATCTTCATACCCAGTGTTGTCTATTCCGACTTTGTCGTTTAGGTCTCCATCAGGATGGTTAGTTCCTTTCCTGAACTTTTCTCTACAACTGGTTGCAGCCTCTTACAAAGCTGATCTTTATCATCTTTGCTTCCATCATTGCTGGGTGCATAGCACTGGATAATATTCATTGCTTTTTCCTCCTTCTTTGCTCTGAAGAATGCCTTGATGACCCTGGGTCTATGAGGTTCACGTCTTATAAGTACCCTTCGTGCTCCACTGGACAACATCAAGTCACATCCTTGTGTATGCAAAGTATTTTCTTCTTCATGACCATAGTATAACAACATCTCTGTCGAATCTAATCTTTTCTGTCCAGCTTGTATATAATGAGTTTCACTTATTCTGAGATCCGCCAAGTTATAACTGCTCATTTTTACAGGTATTTGACTGTCCATTCAAATCCCTCACATTTGCTTGGACATTCCATGTACCTATATTAATTGTATCATTGATTTTCAGAAGGGACATTGGCCGTAATTTGGCATTAACTTTTTAAATAGGCGTAACAGTGATATTTAAGACATCGTGTTTTGTACAGAGTTACTAATATATTGACTGATCGCTAACCAAACTTAATAGAATACACAAATTACGTGAAAATTTGATCTACATTTCTAAACACAATTAATATTTGGAGTCTTGAAAAAGATTATTTTAAATTTGATTTTTACTGAACTTACACTAAATACTTCATTTCTAGAAGTATAATCCACATTGCGATCGAAATTTGGATTGGTCAACCAAGCTTTCAGTCGATGTAAAGAAACACCATGTGACAAGACTATTTCATAAAGAATTACAGCAATTAAGGAACCACATAATGGACCAACAAGATATACCTATTTCACAATGATATACAAAGAAGAAAATGAAGTGAAATTAATAAATGCTCTAGTATTGATTTTATTATAATTCATCGTGAGTAAAAACTCTCTCTTAAATTTACATATTATAACAGTAGCATACATTCACGTGAAAAGATCCTATAATCACTCTGGTCATTTATATGAATCAGTTAACCTTTTTTGGTAAGTTCGGGGATAACATATACATTTAATTAAGAGTTAATCAGTACCCTTTTCTTATTAAACTTAGCTACGCTATCAACTAAAATCATATTTCAGTAAATATATGATTTTTCATAATCTAATTTCTTCAGCGATCATTACTTTTACTTTTCTATAATAAATAATCATGAATTTTCAGATTTCATTATTATGTAATAATTATCCCACTTCATCTATATTACTTATATTTAGCTTATTGGTTAACTTATACATTAATCAACTTATGTTACTTAGAGATATACATTTCCATCAATAACGTTATAAGTTAGCAATCACTAAACGAAACATTCGATACATTTCACATAAATGTATAAAACAATCCTACCACAAATCATATCTTGTCCATATTTATAATGTAAAGTTAAATGTACAAATTTATATTTGTTAAATCACGTGGATATAAGTTGTTAAAAACCATAGGCTTCTATGATGTATTATATATTCTTATTGTAAGGGCGCAAAAATTCTTAACATCTTACCCACAAGTCAGTGAAGTCGTTTGCAACGACAGCTGTACCCAAACACCGTGCAGGATTAAGACCAGCTCCAGAATATCTAGCCTAAACAAAAATAATTAACTGTTACTAAATTGATGAAGAACAAATGATTTATAATGACAATCTACTTGAATCAGAGTCAGGCAAATATTACAACCAATTAACGGTTTCCATCATTTTTAATATATAAAGTATACTGTTTGTTAGAATTATAATAAATATCAAGTTGTTCGTAAGTCAGTAAGAATATGTCTGTTAATGAGTTTTATCAATCCTTGTCACTGACTTGACAAATATAAACTTGGAAAAATCTCTTTCCTGAAGTAGAAAGTTCAATGTGATGACTTTCAGTTTAATGATCGTGAAATCTACTGATGACAAGTTATATAGCTTGTTATTCATACCAGTTATGATGTGTTAACACTAGTGAACTTTGTTACGGCTTGTTGGTATATATTTAAGTTAAAAACAACGCAGTCTGGAGACTATCTAGAAAACTTATGAAAATCTGGTAAAAATCTGATAGAATTTTAGAATTTAAAAGATCGACTTCAGAGTACAATACTGAGTGTATACTTCCTTAACTTTCATATCATTGATAAGGAACGGCAAAAGTTTTAGTGCTAAAACCCATGAAAACAGATACCATACCACACAACTGACAGAAACAAATTTTTAACTTATTCTTAATCAAACGACTGACATGCATAACTTATTGGTAAGACCAATGCTTACCAATGCAACGATCACTATTAACAATATTGTTTTAACGATGAGCTAACTGAGAACAACTTTCTTTTAATGCTTTCTAATAAGACATCTTTTTAATTATTGTACTGCCAAGTGTTAACTCTAGATATGAGTTTGTGAATTTTGATATGAATTTTGACATACTGGAATTCAACAAAGGGTTCTCTTCTCAACAAACCCATGTCTATTTACTTTTTGTGTTTACATATCGGGTAGTAATCAATTTTGCAATGATCAATTGAACTTTACAAACCTAAATCTAAACACAGAAGTAAAGTTAACAAACACGACTTGATTTTTCAGTATGATAATAACAGAATGGTTGAAGGCTCTTTACTGGGTTCGCATTTTTAACCTTTCATTTTAACCTATCAATGAATAGAATAAATTTTTTAAGGCTTCATATAATACGAAAGGAATTTTCACGATGAAAAATTATTGAAAACACAATTAAAACTGGAAGGATAAATCAAGTGATATCACAAATTAAATGAATTTGAAGTTTCGCGCTACTGGCTAACTTTGTTTACACACCTTTTGAAAAGCTAGAGGCACTGAACAGATTTAGCGTCCTAATATGGGACTTTTTAGTAATATGCATCTGTGACCACAACAAGGACATAACCCAAAAGCTTTATTCCTTGTGATGAACCCTCAACCTTAAAGTTGAATTCCATTGGTTTTAATACCTCGGTTATGTGAAATCACAATGTTATATGACTTTTATCCTTTATCACAAATGACATTTCTCTCACATGCGACATGAATGAACTTGACTGGTCACAGCATCTCACTCGAACTCAGGAGACTGCCTCTTAAATTCAGTAAGTAGTAAGTGACTTTTAATGTTTATTATTATTATTTCCAGAACTAGTTCTTCACATAATTATTCGTCAAAACCGAGTAGTCTTTCAACTATAAACTTAATATTGTATGTTGTAATAACTATCACATAGGTCTTATGTACTAATAGTGTAGAGTACTAGACATTTGTCTTTAAAGAAGGTCTCTTATCAGTTAAAATTACATTCAATTTTATGTCAAGTTCATGGTTCCAATGAAATAACGTATCAACACCGTAATGCTTTATTACGTGGGTAAGATTCATATATTTATTAAATCGTCACAAAAATATAATGGCTCAATAGATTACAGATACTACTTGAACGTTGAAAATGCATATGACAACTATAACTACTTTAAAAGTATCATAATTTAAGTAATGATATATAATAATTAGATTTCAATCAACTGACCGACACTTTTTTTAATTAAAAGTGACTTCCTTTAACTAATATACAATTCATATAAGTTTGATGGTCGAATAGTTACATTTAAAAAGAATGAAGACATTCCAGCGAAGATAATTTCCATGTCGAAGACATCAGTTACTAAAGCTGTACAATCGTATATACATCTACTTGAAGATTTGAACATCAATGTGTAGATTATATTACTGATGAGTAGTTATAAGGTTTGTACAATAAAATTTTCAACACAAGTATCAAGACAGTTCTACTGTATAGGGTAGAACATTGGAAAACTACGAAAGCCATCATCCAGGAGATACAGGTGTCTATTAACAGTTGCCTACGTAAAATACTTCGGATCCGTTGGCCAAACAAGATCAGCAACAACCTACTATGGGAGAGAGCAAACCAGATTCCAGCGGGGGAAGAAATAAGAAAGAAGAGCTGGAAGTGGATAGGACACCCATTGAGGAAATCACCCAACTATGTCACAATGCAAGCCCTCACTTGTAATCCTCAAGGCCATAGGAGAAGAGGAAAACCAAAGAACAAATTGCTCTGAGAAACGGAGACAGACATGAGAAGAATGAACAATAATTGGATAGGACTAGAAATGGAGGCCCAGGACAAGTGGTTTGGAGAATGCTGGTCGGTGACCTATGCTCCATTGGGGGTAACAGACATAAGTAAGTAAGTAGGTAACAGTATAATTGATTGCTGTTCAGTAATAACAATTTTCTGTAGACGATTCTGTTCCTATTCGGTTAATTTGTGGTTTGTACACATGAAGTAATACTGTGGTGCGTGCTACTTATATTGATATAAGTAGTATATAACGTGAGTCAAAAGAACGTAATGGCTGGCAGCAGAAGATGGAGAAGATCAAGAAAAGAAGAGCGAGAAAACAATGGAATTTGTTAGAAATCGCATGAGCAATGAAATGCGAGACAATGGATTGATGTTTGCAACAGCAACAGCCCGGTTTGATATGATAGAATGATATTTTGCAAATTAACGATTTACTATATGGTTTTTCTAATTTACCAAGTAATTCTGTAATTTGTCCTAAATACAATTTGGCTGTCCTCACCCGTGTTTTTCTTCACTACATTTGGTGTCGCTGCCTCCACTGAGGATGAAGATCCCATGGCCGAAGGAGTTTGAGGACGGAGATGTGCTGAGCTTCCTGAAGGAGTTTGAGGCCGTGGCGGAGCTGGTGGGGGTGAGGGAGCCGAAGGCGGAGTTGGTGGTGCTGGGGACGCTGCTGAGAGGCAAGGCGAAGGCGGTGTATGACAGCCTGGACGGTGCTGGCGGAAAGACCACATGGGAGGCAGTTGCGGAGCGGTTGGCGGCGGAGTTTGACAGCCCAGTGGACAGAGAGGACTCGCCGCAGAAGTTCCGGTTGGCGAGGTTGCCGGTTGATGGGGACCCACTGGTGCTGGCTGTGGAGCTTACCAGATTGTTACGCCGTGCGCTGCCGAGTCTGGATGAGGAGTCGGAGGCACAGTTGTTGGCGTCACAGTTTATCGAGAGTGTGCCTGCCACCGTCTCCCAACAGCTGAAACTGGTGAACGCAGCGCAACCGATGGACATCAGTGAACTGGCAAAGGTGACTCGTCAGCTGATGACGCGAACAGTAGCTCCGGTCGGGTGCGGAAAGCAGGAGATGAGTAATGTCGAGAAGAAGATTGAGGAGCTGGAGCGCGAGATTGCAGCAATACGAGTGAACAATAAAAGGAACGATAAATGTTACGCTTGTGGAGGGACAGGACATTGGAAGATAAACTGTCCAACAAGACGAAGACGCAGATATGTTAGACGTTACAACGAGTGTTCTTTCTATCCTAGGAATCTGGGGATTGTTGCGTTAGTAGACAGAGGGGCAGTATATGCGAGAGTGAACATAAATGAGCGAGATTTAGTTTGTCTGATCGATACAGGTGCAGCAGTATCGTTAATAGGCAAAGAGCAGTGTAAGAGAATCAAGCCGTGTACATTAGCTGTCCACACGATAGGGGGCCATATGTTAGAGGTGTTTGGTGTATCTAACAGTATCGTAAAAGTGGGGGATGCGGAGATAAATTTTCCGTTCGTCGTAACCACAAGCTTATCGAGACCGATATTAGGAGCAGATTTCCTAAGAGAAGTAAAAGCGATAGTTGACTTAAGAAGCGGTAAGGTGGTCACGAAATATGGTTCATTGACAATACATGAAAGTAGCGAAGTGGCTGAAATAAGAGTTGCAGCGGATGTCTCGTCAAAGAAACCAAACATTCACGAGTTATGCAAAAAGTATGCGGAACTATTCACTGGAGATGGGGAGTCGTATGGATTTTGTGACAGAGTAAAGCACGAAATACCGATAAAGAACAGTCGAGTAAATATATTTGCAACACGTCGTGTCCCGGTGCATTTAGAGGCCGAGGTAAATCGTCAGGTCCAGGAAATGTTAAAAGAAGGTATAATTGAGGAAGCGGACAGCCCATATAGCTCGCCGGTACTCTTGGTAAAGAAACCAAATGGAAAGTATAGATTTTGTGTCGACTTCAGAGAATTGAATAATATAACAGACCTGAAGCCTTGTGCAATGCCAACAGTGGTGGAAACATTAGATCGGCTACAGAATGCCACGGTGTTTACAGTGCTGGATTTACGGTCAGGTTATTGGCAACTGCCTATAAAAGAGAGTGATCGGAGCAAGACAGCGTTTACTGTACGGGATAAACAGTATCAATTTAAACGAATGCCGTTCGGGTTGGCGGGTGCACCGTTCACGTTCAGAAGATTAATGACACTACTGCTCAAGAATCTAGATAATGTCGAGGTATATGGCGACGACGTAGTTGTGTACAGTCAAACAGAAACAGATCACATCAAACATGTGGAAGCGGTCTTAAAGCGAATTGACGAATTTGGACTTCGGATTAATAAGGACAAGTCGCAGATAGCGAAAAGTAGCGTCACATTGTTGGGACATAAAGTGGGAAATGGAGAAATAAAACCATTGCCGGAGAAAATTCTTACCATAAAAAATATTGCAGTACCTAATTCGAAAAGGAAGTTGAGACAGTTCCTGGGAAGAGCGGCGTTCTACAGTCGGTTTGTCAAAAATTTCAACGAAATAGCAGCACCCTTATATAAGTTATTGAGCAGCACCAAGTTTACGTGGACTGAGACTGCCGAACAAACGTTCAACCGAATCAAAAACATGCTAGACGATCGCCAGATGACGCTTAGACTGCCTGAACCGGGAAGACTGTTTACAGTGGCCACAGACGCGAGTGATCATGGTATAGGTGCTGTGTTGAGTCAGGCTGATAGAGTGGTGGAATACGCGAGTCGCGTCCTCACACCTGCTGAACAGAAGTATTCAACCATCGAAAAGGAGTGTTTAGCGATCGTGTGGGCAGTGGAAAAATGGAGACCATACCTTTTAGGTAGACGATTTCACATTGAGACGGACCATAAACCCCTGCAGTGGTTGAAAACAGCAAGAGACCCCCGAGGGAAGTTGGCGCGATGGATGATACGCCTGCAAGAATACGATTTCAGTATCGGCCATGTTCCAGGAAAAGAAAACGTAATGGCAGATTACTTGTCAAGACCAGACATGGAAGCCGACCTGCCATTAACAGCATACGCGGTGAATAGTTTAGAGGGAGACCCATTAGAACTCGTCCGGCAGCAGAAAGCTGACCCTAACCTTCGAGAGGTAATCAGAGTGATAAAAGAGGGAGCAGACGTAGATAAACGAACAATGGACAAGGAGGTAATAACGCTGCTTCGGCAAAAGGACCGACTGAGAGTGAACTCATATGGAGTGCTGACCTGGCAGGACGATGATGAAAATTGGATGGCGGTGATCCCGAAAGACTGGCGGCGTAAAGTGATACACGAGTGTCACCAGGTAGCACATACAGGCATCGCAAGAACGACGGACTTACTACGACAAAGTGCATACTGGCCGAACATGAGAGACGATGTGGCTGAATACGTGTTAACCTGCCAGCAGTGTCAGCTAATGAAAAGCGATCGATACACACAACCGCCATTACAGTCAATCCCAGTAACCGCAGTCGGTGATCTATGGTCGGTTGATGTGATGGGACCGTTTCCACAGACGGCGAGCGGTAACCAGTATCTGTTAGTGATGACGGAACATGCCATATGTTGGGTAGATGCCGTACCCATTGCAGACCAGCGGGCAAGGACAGTGACCGAGGTGGTAATCCGGCATATTGTAGCGTGTCACGGAATACCGAAGATGATATTAACTGACCAGGGTCCCTGTTTTGAAAGTGACGAGTTTAAAGCCCGTTTAAAGCAGTTTGGCATCAAGAGAATACGAACTACACCATATCATCCTCAGACAAACGGGCTTACAGAGAGAAACAATCGGACGTTAAAGGAATGGTTAGCATCAAAAGGAGGAAATTGGGAGAAAGAGTTACCATTGATTTTGCTGGCACATCGTTCCTCAACACAAGGAACAACCAAGAAGTCACCTTTCTTGCTCATGTATGGCAGACAACCACGACTTCCAATGCATAATAAGACCTGGCCACAACAACAGAAGTGGACGACAACAAGGTTAAGAAAAGAGAGGAGAGAGGCAATAAGGAACGTGGAAAAGAAACAAATATCAGACACAAAGAAGGCAGAACAACAGAGGAGAACGTGGAAACCCTTTGCAGTGGGGGACCTAGTAAAGTGTAGAGAACGAAAAAGTAACATAGCAGGGGGAGCAGGGTCGGGGAAGCTGGCCCCAAAATGGGAAGGACCGTATGTAATCACGGAGAGACGCAGCTCGGTCTACACGATCCGGAGAGAAGACAAACAGAAGCGCGTAAATGCTAGTCAACTACAGAGATGGTTTCAAGATCATCATGGGTGTGAATCACGAAAAGCACCAAAGAACACAGCGGTACGGAGATCAGAAAGACTACGACAGCAACTTGTTAAAAGGGGGGACGAGTGTGGTGCGTGCTACTTATATTGATATAAGTAGTATATAACGTGAGTCAAAAGAACGTAATGGCTGGCAGCAGAAGATGGAGAAGATCAAGAAAAGAAGAGCGAGAAAACAATGGAATTTGTTAGAAATCGCATGAGCAATGAAATGCGAGACAATGGATTGATGTTTGCAACAGCAACAGCCCGGTTTGATATGATAGAATGATATTTTGCAAATTAACGATTTACTATATGGTTTTTCTAATTTACCAAGTAATTCTGTAATTTGTCCTAAATACAATTTGGCTGTCCTCACCCGTGTTCTTCTTCACTATAATACATGTCAATTTCGATAATGTAATAAGAAGACGAAGATTATCAGGAAACATGCCACTTTTAGTCTACAAGATGACATCTAGTTTTATAAGCATACAAAGTTACCTGTTTGCTAGACTGATTTTCATTTTTATATGAAAACAATATTTAAGTGATATGATTTCAAAAATACTATTAGAAAGACAGGCTACAATTGAATACAATTATCGTGAACAATTTATAAATAATATAAATTATTAAATAGCTTACTAATATTCCAACTAATAAAGCATGAACAACTCCCATTTGAAATGGTAAACTAGTAAATAATCCAGCTGTCCATATATTTGGACGAAATTCATCAGTTGTAGCTAGAATAGCTAATACAATTGCAAATCCACCAAAAAGTTCAAATCCAACAGCGTTACCTTGTGATATTAATGGATTTTTCATAACTAAACCAATTTTATTTAATTGTGATAAATCATTAGGCAATAAACTTCTAGCTATAAATGCGCCTAAAATTGCACCAACTAATTGTGATATTATAAATAGGATAGTATGGATTATTGTTATTTTTCTTGTAATAAAGAATGCAATAGTTACTATTGGATTAATTTGTGCTCCACTTATCGGTCCAAATATCCATACAATCCAAGAAAATGTAAAAAATACAATAATACAATCAGATACTGGATTGGTAGTTGGTGGGAAACTATATAATACAGCAACAAAACATAATGTACCAGTACCAATTAATTCAGATATAAATAAACGCAACAAGTAATAAAAATCTGTTATAGAACATCTTGGCCATCTATCCATTGATGGTTTAATAGATATTGGTGAATTGTTTACACAATTTGAAGGATTATTATCATTTGTCATTCCGTATCTTTCAATATGACAATTACAAAGTATATGTTGATGAAATGTTCTCTAAAATGTATAAATAAGATATATATATATATATATATATATATATATATATATATATATATATATATATATAAATTTCGACTTTGTACTAGAAATTATTATGAATATACGAATTTTCATAAACTCAGATCAAATATTTTGATTTATGAAAATTCTTATTACTAAACTTTATAATCAGCGAGGAGTTTTGAGGATATTAAAGTAATTTAATTGTTGAATTCATGAGTCGATTGAAGTTAGACCACCATGAAAAAGCTGAAAGCACTGGACGGCTGTTTCATCCCAGTATGGGACTGCTTATCAGTTACTTCCACCAAGAGGTATTTCCTGGAGTTCTAGTGAAAAGCCGTGACCTATGGAGTTCAACCGAGTATGCTGTGAGATATTAACTCACTGATGACAGTGATAGACGGTGGCGCGATTTCGTCGGTTGGTTGAAGTTAGACATTAACACTGTTGGACGCCGGCTCAGCGGTCTAGAGATTAAGTGTTCACGGCAAGACCGGTAGATCCTGGATCCGAATCTTGCGGGGCGAGATCGTGGATGCTCACTGCTGAGAAGCCCCATACTAGGATGAAACGGCCGTCTAGGTTTCTAGGTTTTTCATGGTGGTCTAGTCACGAATTCAATAATTAAATTACTAAGCTTTATGGTCTACCATTGTAAGCACTTTTCACAGACATAAATAGTGTCGGAAATAAAATGAACTTTATTTTTTCTTAGACGTCATAAACAATTTTGTGAAACTGAAATGGATCATTAATAATATGATAAAAGAAAGATTATATGAAAACTCACATTTAACGCCCCAAATACTAGGTACGTATTTATTAGTCACATTCTAACAGCTACAAGTATATTATTCTTAAAGCCCAGATAGATAATATAAAGCGGAAAATGTGGAAAGACACTTTATTTCTAAGACTAAGTTAGTTGCAAAGCACAGGAGGTGTTAATTAGAATATGGACGACCTTGTGTTTCTGAAAGCCTCTTAAAATGATGAGAAAACGAGCAATAAATTCAATATCTGTCGAATGATGGTCAAATAAAATCACAGGATAGACAGACATCATCATCCATTGCGAAACATTTGATTGAGACGGGTCATCAAGTTGATATCAAATCAGCATTTGTTGTGTTGTATAAAAGCCTTCAAGGACGTATACTAAGGTTTATTGAAGCCTATGCTATACGGAAATTGAAACCCCTTTTATGTGTTCAAAAACAATTTGTCCTTACACTTAACCTACCCTGGTAATACTATTTATTATCCACAGTTGTAATCACAATTGCTTTTTGTATATTTTAATATTTTTCCTTCGTTATGACTTACCCTTAACCTGTCTAGCTGACCTTTTCATTTTCATTTATAAATGTTCTTAATAAGTATATGTGTGATCAATGGTTTTTTTCAAAGGTACATTTGTAAACAAGGAATTTACATCAAATGAACACATTGTCTTTTTCTTGATATTAATATCACCTAAATGATCAACCAGTTCAAAAGAATCCTTCAGATAATCTTCGTCTTCTAATATCATTATCGAAATTTATCAAAGGGACAATATCAAGTGAAAGGGACTAATTGTTTTAAATTTACTTGATGGTTAAGCACATGTATGTAAATCACTAAGTAGTAGGCTTAAATTTCTACTCGATCTAGTTTTATTTTTGAGTTGTAGATTTATCTCAGTTTTTCATTAATAAACAACAGTATGTGTAACTTTACTTGATAGATGAGTTACATAACTTCACTGATATAGTGCAAAACATTTATGCCAATTTCACATATCATTTATGAGAAAAAGTTGTGTAGGCTAACAATATCGTTCTCATCAGAGCATCAGACCAGTCACAGTAATTTGTTAATCGAAAATTTAGACCACACAACTAATAAACAACAACAGTAAGAGTATGCTACCAGGTGTCGTATTAGCAGCAATGATATGAATAATACAGGCAATACAAAATTGTGTCTTGCAATAGAATCATGAACTCGACTTTCATCATATTTGGGACTTGTCGACTAAACATGTCCACATCCCAAAGTTTACGTTCACATTGGGATACAAACCCAGTAACTATGTCATTAAACAGCTAACGCATTATCCAATGAGCTACTGAGTACAGTTAACCACTCACTTGGACCACAGGTATAATATTTATATCATCATTAATGAGAGTTTAAACTATCACTCTATTGATATTCTTGGCTAAAATGCTCTTCGCAAATTTTACTGCTAACCAAAGTGTAAATTATTTTCAAAAAAGTCATACTAATAATACCTTGATAATGAAATAAATATTATTTGAGCCGTTTTTAGTTGTTTTTTTTAATGATGACCTTTAAGAGTCAGTATTTGGATTTTTTTTCAAGATTAAGGATGAGAATAATTTGAAAGCATTTTGGAAGAACTATGTTATTATCAAGAATAAATAAATGTTTTAAACGCTGAATTTCAGTGATCGGATAATCACTTCTAATCATAAACCTAGTAAGTTCAAATCACAAAGAAATTGAAACAGTGATTATTTAAAGAATTCCAGGTAAAAATAAAACGTCCATTTTTTGTTACCAAAGTTAGATATTCCTGAGTAAACATGCAAGATGAAATAGAATAATAAATGACCAGTGTCAATTATAAAAATACCGGTTAAGAATATGCATTATTTTTCAAACACAATTTACTTATTCGAAGGTAAGTTATTTATTTATTTAGACACATAAACAATGGTACAAAGAGGCACCAAATTGATATACGCCACATAAATCATTCGATTAATGTGACGGCTGGGATACTGCCTGAGTGTCTAATCCACAAAGCAATGGGACAACTTCAGGAGATGCAGGCCCTCAGGATCCTGGAGCCCATGTGCATCATCGGTTTGTAATCAGAGCTTTCCAACCCCACTAGGTGACTTTTCCGTTGAGTAGGACTTACCTGACAGTGGTTGTATGCATGTGGCCATGTGAAAGCATTTCGAGAGGAAGAGCTAACTCTTTCCACTCTCGGCCGTACCAGAGCATTTGGGGATTGAATGTAAGTTAAAGTTAGAAATCTAACTAACAATTTAAACATAAATTAATAAACAGTGAAGAAAAATGAACTTAGTATATCTACTACATACCTTCATGAACAATTGATTTTGATGAATAAAAAAAAACAACTTACTAATAACTGATAAGAATTATGTAATTAAAATAATATAATGTTATTACTATAGTTAATGCATAGAGTTAAGTACATTTATTGGTGTTTATAGGTTTGTTTATTTTAAATTAACTCGTAAATGAATCAAATCAAATGAAATAGATTGACTGTATTCGACTATATATGGGTGGAGATTAAATATTGAAAGTAGTATTTAAACTACAGTAAACTTACAGTAAAAGATGATCAGCTATTGGTTAAAGTGGAAATTAACATGCAATTGTTTATTATCATGAGTAAGAAAAAGAACTGAATAAACCAATTGAACATATGAATATTAGCCACTATGTTTATAGATTTTCTCTGTAATGACGAACATGACTAGCCAATTATGACATTTATGTTTTGAAACAACATATAGCAGTTCCTTCGAAAATCATCATGTACATACTTTGGTTCTTGTGATGATAATTAAATATTATTATTTGATAAACTATATCGTAATAAAATTCCTTGACGTGTTCAAATGAAGTATGGTTTATTTGAGGATAGTGGAGAACTATGATAAATGCCTATGAGATACTCTAGATTAACCCAGATCTGCATATGCGGATACAGTTTGTATGATCACTTTCTTTACCATTTCAATTCGGATTTCTGTAATTTCTTTCTTTCTTGTTTGATTTACTATTCTCACTTTTTCATATCCAAGTTACACGCAAATTTATCGTCTTTAATTCACTGAATCCAAACATATTTTAGCTAATTTCCAAATTCAGATGAAATGATTATCAAGAGGCACTTCAGATGATATCAGAACAAAATGAAAATAGCTAACGGATTTGATAAGAATTCTCTAATTGTTTAAGATAGATCTTATTAAAGTCTAGTGCATTTTTCTGTAACGAACATTGAATATATAAAATATTTAGAAACGCCTTTCAAATCGATAATAATTGGAATAATGCACTGGATTTAACGTAAATTATCTAGGTAATTTCCACCAAGATAAGTACCATTGGATATAATATGCTTCAATTTTCACTAGCCATATGGTTGAGGGAGGAGTGAAGCTCGTAATTGAAACACTGATGAATAATGTTTATCTACTGAAGTTTATAAAAGTATGGGAAGGCAGAAATAGGAAGAGATCTACCACGCTTTTGGCAATTAAAAAGCGGATCTGTATTGCCCTAACATTCAAAGATGACTCGAATAGTCTTGTGTTGAAACAAAGACTTAAATTAACTATCACTAAGACACTTTATCCAGCCTGACTCATTATTATCGAAAAGTCAAGGTCCACGTTTCAACGAAGACCTAAACAGCATGTCAACGATTGTGTCTGTCAGTTTACATGCATATGTGGAAACATATACTTAGTAAGAAGCAACCGTGATCGGAAAGTAATAGAGACTGAATACATACCTGAATGTCTACAAAAACAAATGAACTCATTTAGTCAAATATAATCACGGAATAGACAAATAGCCCAGTCTGTTGAGAAACATTTGTTTGAGACTGGTCATAGAGCCATCGCAATCCATGTTCACAAACCTAACCTTTGCATTCAAAAGAAATTCGTACAACCACTTTCGCTGCCTTGGCCAAGATTTCCTTCAACAGAACTATTTTTCATACTTCTTCCATTTGGTTTTTTTAAAATTTTGTTTTTGAACTTTATAATTTCTCAACATTCATCTCTTGATTTTTACGTAACTACTATTCTATTGACGATCCATTAAAAATTCTGCTCCTTCTCATTTTCGTATGTTATGCAACGTAGTAACTTCTTGATTTATTAATTACTTTGAATATTAATAATCCTCTTTCTTCCAGTTACTCAAGAAGACCAAAAAACACATCACGCCGGGAAATGGAGATAGACATGAGAATGCTGGTCTGCAGCCTATGCTCCATTAGGAGTAACAGGCGTAAGTAAGTAAGTAATATTAGTGTAGAACCATGATGAAAACTAATTGGAAAGAAATTTCTTCGCTCAATCCGTTCGTTTTTTATTTACCAGAAGATAGTTTTTTTTCTTAGCTAAAATAAGTGTTGCTGCCGCTTGGGACTCCAACTGTCATTTATGATATTATCGGGAGCAATGAAAGAAAACAATCTCCGGTTTGTTATTTTCTTCAGTATTAAGGACAACCCTATCCATCAACGAGTCAAATTAATACTAAGTTCCCAGTAGTAGTAGTAGATATCAGTAATGTTTTCAAAAGGACCCGTCCAATAATTTGAATAGACCAACTAAGTCTATACAACTTGAACAAAATTTCTTATTATTTAGCTCATAATGTCGAAATTAAAATACGTCTATTCCAAGATCGAATAAACCCATAAACATGTTCTGAGCTTGCCTTGTGAAAATGTGATTGTCCATTAGTGAAAACAACAAAACAGTAATCAATAAGTACTCTAAATATGATCAAGAAGTCAATAAAAGTATACAGGCCTGGGGTGCAATTAAAAACATAGAAAGTGTGTTTTACTGAAATGAACTAAGTTTGAACAACTACACCTAAATTTAAGTTGTAAGTTGATCAGAGGTGCATAATAATATTAAATAGTGAGCATTTATATTGACCACCATATGATTCCTTGTTTATACTATTTACTTGAGAACGATTAGTTTCCAATATTACTATGCATTAAATAAAAGGTTTTCAGTGTTTGATCAGGATGGTTTAATTGTGAAGCACTTAATACCTTCCGAACGGAATCGTCGGTGTCTGCTTTGAATCATGTTGCTTAAGTCTAAACTACCGTTACGGGTCATTAAATACAAACAAGTACAGTGCCAAATGTAGTTTTTAATCCAAAAGTTTAAGTAAGGACAAGGCCAATGTTATTACATGATTTCAATCGCTTAGCTCAAATGTCGATTTAATTAATTATACTAGTATTTCAAGTCATTCATGAGCTGTTGACTACTTTTGTGGTGTGTGCTACTTATATTGACATAAGTAGTATATGATGTTAGTCGTGAACAGAAGGTCGGGCAGCAGAGAGACAAGAGGATCGAACAGTAAAGAATGGAAACAGAATGCAATTTGTATGAAAATGCAAGAACAATGAAGTCTGAGTCATTTTAAAACAATCGATGAACATTTTACAAATTAAGCATTTACTTTATGATAGTTAGATTTTATTAACAAATCCTGTAAGTTTGTGTTAAATATATTCTATTGTGCCCACTGGTTTTCGTGTTCACTACACTTTGTAAATATATATCCTTTCAGGAAATTTGTTTACAAAGCTGATAAATGTGCATTAAATACTACGCTGATGAGGTCTGTTGATATGATTAGTTTGCCATAAATTCAATTATGTTTAAAAGCGCCACTAAACTGATCTTCATTTGCCATCCAGACAACAGTAACACTTTCCATTGAACAATATTGAAAAATCTCCTTTTTAAAATGAATTTTTATCAGAGACTGATATCAGCTGGAAAATTAAGAAAACTAAGAAGTACCAGAGAGTTCTTTTTGTCTTACACTAAGACTCAGAAATGCACACTCATGGCTTCGTCAAGGACAGCGTTTAGGACTATATGGCATCAGTCGGAGAACGATACCTTTACACCATCGAGTAGCAGTCCAGTCATTTTCCCAGTTACAGTCACCAACATATAATAGTCTATCAGTTATACGTTCCTCGATCACAACAAGACAGAGTTCTATCAGTCACGAATACTCGAGTGAACTTTACGTGAATGCCCTCTGCTGATGAGTACAAAACCAAAAACGAAATGCTCCAATGCTCTCTGATTTTAAATAGTTGTCTAGTTGATGCTCATAATGAAAACTGACTGCAGATTGGACAGTTTTCATAACACTGCCAACTAAGGAACCTCATTAGTAAAATTCATTTTATATAAATACATATATTGAACAATCCCGAAAGGCATATAATTTAATATTTAGTACGTAATTGGACTTTTAATAAATGCTTCCCCATTAAACCATGAAACATTAATTACATTACTATGTCAATCAAAAATCCCTAAATTATGACTTATATTTTGTAAGCAGAGTTAATGACGTAGACCAAACAAAATTGTTTTACTAGCGCAGTGAACAATACACGGGTGGGGGAAATCGAATGTACTTAACATAAAATTATGGAGTTTCTTGGTAAAATAGAACGACCATAAAGTAAATCGTTAATTTGCAAAATATCAATCCATCATACTTAACCAGACTGTTCCTGTTGCAATTATCAATCCATTGTCTCACATTTCATTGTTCATGCATTTTATTACAAATTGCATTGTGTTTCTGCTCTTCTTTTCTTGATCTTCCCCTCATCTTCTGCTGCCAGATATTACGTTTCAACTCGCGTCATATACTACTTATATCAATATAAGTAGCATGCACCACATTAGTAATGCAATTTCAGTTCGTTACATTGATAGATGTAATAAATTGATTTTCATTACTTTCTCAAGTAACTAGCTACATAGTTATTTCACAAGAATAGTGTTTTTATATAGTGAAGATATCATCAATACATATTGTTATTTTACCTAAATATAAGTACACGTGTAAATTTGCCTTCAGTATATCCATATATCATTTACTATGTATCGATCAAAATCGCTACGATAATTAGCTTGTCCACAATATGACAGTAATATTTATCCCATTCTTAAAAGCACTAATGAGTGATAGAATCATAAAATAACCACAATGTAAATCTGAATAAATCCAAACATAATTATCAGTATAGGGTTGCGGAGATTGTTGAGTATAGATTGATATCATGAATGAACCAATGTTAGACCACCATTGGAAACCTGGAAGCATTAAACGACCAAATATAATTACTAAAATAAACATTTGAATAATATTATGAAATGTAAGTAGTTTGTCTTTGTTTTATTCACATTTTCAATCGAAAGATATTTGAGTTGAACGACTTTTTATTATATTCAAGGGTGTGGTGATAAATAATTTAAAAACCTATTAATTAAATATAAATATTTGAAATAAACATTTTAGTGTTTGACGACAAAGCAAATATTTCATATAGTCAAAGTCTCAAGTACAAAATTTTCG